GAATATTCCTAATCCCATCGATCTACCTGCTTTAGAATTCTCATTCCTTCGACCTCATTCCACTACAGAGTAACTACGACCCTGCTGAAAAGGCAAAAGTAAACAAACCGTACAAATTCCAGTGTGATGTTGCCAACGCTATTTCATACGATTTTCAGTTTAGGATTCTGTCGTGGGGCAGCACCTTCCGATAAGAAATTTCAAAATACTCCAATTTCAATATGCCGGTCAAATGAAACATTATATGGAAAAATGTTTCGAGCAAAATGTGTCTAAAATGGAAATAAACCTATGAAGAAGCCAGCCACTGGTGCTGGCGAAACGTTAGGATACAGTTCCAAACTACGACGGCCTTCAACCCAATGGCCTTCACTTCAGAACTGAATACTAAAAATAGGTATCAAAAAAAAACACATGTTTCTCCACTGATAAGCTTTACGAAGAACTAGACATCATTTATCACAAACCAATCGATTGATATACCGTTATTTAGAAAAAGTCACTCCCAAAACAGCCTTTTCGTTATAGGTCCAAAACTATATAACAAACTACCACTTTAAATAAAAAATATATAAACTCAGTTCAATGCAGGAGATGATAACGGAGATATTATATATAAGAAGTTTACTCAACTATTTTGATGAATTTAAGTAATAATGGATTAAAGAATTTGCACCAAATATTGTGTGAAAAGAGAAATTGAGTGCTCAAAAACACTAGAAATGTTTATGGGGATATACGGTAATTGTACTCTGAGTCATTACAGTTGGTACAAGCTTTTTACAGAATGTTGAGATGTGATTGACGACGCTCGCTTGGGCGCCACAGCACATCAACAACCGATGAAAATATTGATAAGGTGAAGAAAATTCTTATGGAGAATCGTCGAATCACTATTAGAGAATTTGCTAAAGATGTCGACATATCCATTGACTCATGCCCTGCAATTTTTTCGAAAATTTTGAGCATGATGGGTGTGGCAGTGAATTCGTTTCACTGAATTTTCACCAAAAACCGTCACTCGAGCATAGCTCAGGAATTGTTGAATGACGTCAACGGCGATCCAGATTTGCTTAAAAGGGTCATAACTGGTGACGTATCATGGGTATACAGTTATGACATCAAAACCAAACTCCAATCGTCCCAATGGAAGAGCCAAGATAAAAAAANAAGACGACCCCCAGATTCAATTCAAAAATGGGACAATGAATTCATTGTACAAGGTAAAAAATTTGAAATTCGGAAAAAAGGGTATGGTTCGTCGAAGCCCATATTTTCAATGATAAAATACTTGAAAATCCATGCAGGATTAACCGGAAATGAACCTAAGTCAAGAATTTGTAATAGAACCCTGGATATTTTTTTTTGACCATTGGATCGAATATATAATTCCATTTTCAACAATATAAATTACGTGGCCACATACTTATTCTTGATTTTTATCAAATGCCATGTTTAACTACATTCATCTCGATAATTTCAATAGGAAGTGATATTTGTTGAACTTTGATATCAAAGCGTACATCTTTTATTACAAAAAAATGTCGAAGATACTATGCTGTTCATTTTTCTGTGTCAGTGAAAAGGTGAGGAAGTAATTATTAACTCACAATGATAGAGATCAGCTTTAACAGTTTTACTTTTTACTGGCACAGAAAAATGAACAGCAGAGTATCTTCGACATTTTTTTGTAGTAAAAGAGGTATACTTCAATGTCAAAGTTCACAAACTATCACTGCCTATAGGACGTTAGCCAAAGATTTGATTTTTTGGTACAGGCGTAAACCTTCATGGGCCGTACTTTTCGAAATACTTAGCCCAAGTGACAGCCTTAAGTCCGGCCTACTGCGATCCCGCGATTGCGATATTTTGCTTCGTGTTGTAGATACCAAAATAAGTTATTTTCTGTGTCTCATGGGAGTTCTGATCAAAAAATGGTACACCATTTTTGGCTATAGTAAAAATCAGTTTGTTTGAGACACATTCAAGTGCAAAAAACACTGATTCAATTTTTGAAAAATTAAATCCTGATCAACTTTCAGTTATCTAGGAATAAACCTTAATCTATCCAGAAATAGATATTAATTACACTTGGATGATATTTTCTTGTGAAAGTTGTCTAAAGTTTCACTTTCACATGTGAAAAGGATCAGATTTAATTACAGCAGAGTTGTTCTATTCCCAAGAATCAGAACTACTGTTTTATTTATCGTTGGCCACCTATAATCAAAACAAGCCCCAGAATTTGATTTGCAAAGAAGATTACCTACCGCCTTTTGACGAGCATATTTGACACAGTGAGAAGCCACTCTTTTGCACTGTAGCAGCATCTCCTTGTGCTTGTTTATTTTTGATCTATGCTGTTTTCCGATTTCCTTTTTGACTATACTGGTGAACAGTTTTCTCCTCTTCAGGGCCATCATGTCCTCCCACTTCTTTTTTGATTCTTCATCCTTGAATTTCTTAGCTTTTCTTTTTGGAGCAGTGACTGTCATGTGTGAATTTGATAACAGTGGTTCAGTTGATATAGAGAGACCATAATCGGAATTATCAAGATCATCTAATGGCTGGAATTCCATACCATTTTGGAGATTCAAGTCTAAGCAGGGCTCATCCTGTAAATTTGATTGTCGCTTCATTATAAAATATCAAATAGTTTACATATTTTTAATTCACAACACAAAATATATATGCGTGCAAAATATTTATGATTGGATCATTTAGTTATATTCCAGGATAAGCAAACATATAAAAGATTGAAATCACTTTAGAGTAAATTGTTTATAAATATTACTAAGTGAGCATGCACAATTTTGAGGTATCAAAAAGGCTTTATCATTATTTACTTTTTCTTAGACATATCTGTGTTTTGTATCGGTGATTCATTCACTAGAAGTTTTAGATCTGAAAACAGATTAGTTTTTGAAAAATACAATTTCATCTTACCGAAATATCATCCAAAATCTCAGGATGGTAGAGCGGGGATTTGGATGTATCTTCTGGTTTATTTATTCGTCTTTTTGCTTGTACTGGAAGGTGCTTTTCTATCTCGGGATAGTGATCAACATTACTAACGAGTCCAGATCCATAAAACATATAATTATCATAGTTCTGAAAAAAGAGAGTCAATTCTTGAACGAATATGAGGTTCGAAAATCCTCATATCATACCTCTTTAGTTTTACGGAGATACTTCTGATATGAATGCATACGCATAATATGTTTGTACTGCACATCTTCCGGAGTAACATCAGAATTTTCTTGAAGAACATCAGCAAGCCATTTACGTCTGACAGAAACATTTTTAAGGTTGTAATAATCTTTTGGAGAATGAGGTTCAGAATCTGAAAAAAAATTAATTATTTTTAAAAGCAATTCTGATAATACTTCCAGACTACATCTAAACAACTACCTTAAGAGGTGATGTCACAACGGAAGAGGGTATTTTAGACAAGTTGAAATATAACTATATTGATGTTAGTAAATCCATAATTGATAGTCTTGTTAGATATTTTCGATTATTTTGTTAGTGTGCACCATATTTATGCAAAAAAAAACAAAACCAATAACATGCTATCAACTTATCACACCTGTCAATCAGATACGTCTGTTGGCGTAATCATTCAATCAGAATATAATGGAAAGTGGAACTGCATTATCTGTTGTAAAATTAATCCAAATCAAGCACTGCTCCAAAATACCCGAACTACAACACTAATTCATCTACTGAAAACGCGCGTCGAGAAGAGTGTTACAGCTCTGGTGTTTGGGAGCAGTGCTTGTTTTGATTCAAAATATACTTTATTATCTTAATGTTTTATTTGAGTAGTTTAGAAAATAAAAAAACAGAGGACACTCAGAAATGAAAAATATTACAAATTGCTAGTAACATACTGCAAATTCACTAATTATAATCAAATCATAGTTTAAATCGCACTCACAAAAAAACATTACGATCGTCAGTTCCACTTTTGCCAGGCATAATACAAATCCACTGCACTGATACTCATGGGCTATTGTGCTTGATATTTACAAGGCTTTCTTGGTTTGCATGAGAGTTTACTCAATTAAACTTTGACGCTATGGATCATACGATCGTTTTGTTCATGGCTCTCCAGCCATCTCAGAGAAAGTTTTTCACAAATAGCCATCAATGGTTCTCTTTTGGATCATCAACCCTTTTTGTATCATACATTAACAATATATTGGAAAAAATTCAAAGCTTATAGCTTTGGGTGACAGGAATCATGTAGAATAAAATGCTACGAAAACCCTGGCACCAGTTTTCTTTAAGATGAGTATGGCGAAACTAGAAATCATAATGTCGTGTCACACATTTCCACTAGCTACACAGGTTAATTTGTTAGGTGTCAAATTGGATACCAATATATTAGTACACAATCTCATTACTGGAATAGCAAATTCAGTTTCTCAGAGTCTTGGAAAACTGTTTCAAAATACAAAGTTGTACACACCTTAACAACCTTAAATTAGAAATTCTTCAGAATATTGCTCACATATATGGAACTCTGCCCATAAGCATACCCCGAGGCTGCTAGATTCTATCCAGGAAAGAGCCATCCACCTGATTGGAAAGCCAAACATTACAAGCAACCTTAATGGCCAGGGGCATCTGAGAAAGATTGGGACTTGTCTTTTTTCTATATAATACTTTACAAAAAGTGTTCGAGTGACTTACCTAGCTTGATACTTCCCTTAATGCATATCAAACTACACTTTATAAAAAGTCTTTCATTCAGAGAATGACTTAATATCACACTTTGTGAACTTTTTGTAAGCTAGTTTAGGTGACATTTTGTTTCAATACAATTTTTATCATGAAGTCATATTCTTAATGAATATGCAATCAGATATATTTTATATACTAAAATGAGAAACTGAAATAATTCCAAAGTGCCTGGGCTCCTTTTGATTTTTTTAAAAAATTGTCATATGCTCTCAGTACGGAAATAATAGCAATTGGTCTTTTGAGTTTCATAATTCTAGATTCACCAACATTGTAAGAGGCGGGTTGCGGTGGAGGGTCGAATGGTTGCACTCACTTTGGACATAACCTAGAGGCAGTTATATTTTTTTAAATTAAGGTTACATAAATACCAGTTAGCAGTTTACCATTTGCAACCTTATTAAAAATAAAATAATTTCATAATGAAATGTTTAATAAAACAAAATGTAACCTGTAACATAACCTAGCGTACAATAAATGCTGAATACGTATCATGTATTATTAAAGTCAAGTCTCTTCAAGAAATTAATAAAAAATGGTATCATCTTAGGGTTTGAACCAACAATCTCTGGTTTTATATCTACTTGTTAGTCGCATTATGCCAAAAGGGGAATATAACAGATACACAAAGTTGACACAGTGTTATCGGAAACGATTTTTTGTGACACACACTGATATATTTACCAATTTTGATTCAGATAACTTTTCATTTCATTCCAACTTGTCTGAAACCCCCTAAAGATATGTCATCATCTCTTTAGCTAAAGTAGATAAGTTAAGGTAGTGTTATTTTAGATATATATTCATCAATAACTTTTGTAGCACCTATTCTACTTTCATGCCAAGTACTCTCAAAACTTTGCTTCATTACATATCTTCAAGCCAATTTCTCTTGCTATAATATAAGTCAAGTGTTTTCCTCAACAATTTTTCTGAAGTATAGGGTAATAATGGTGAGAAGAGATATTCTTTATAATCTGACAAATATATTGGCTTATTAAATTTATGAAAGTTTTAAAGCTAAGGTAATTTTTTTATGGGGCTCTTCAAATTCGAGTCTATGCATGGATTTCAAAAACGATAAGAGATACAGAATCGGTTCAATTTCAAAACTTTTTTGCTTCCAGAGGAATGCAGGAAAAAATGTATGATTTCAATATTTAATTTCTTCTATAATTTTTTTCATTTGTAGAGGTATTGGAAATCTATTTAAATATTGCCATGCACTATCAGAATATGTTCATAGATTTTTTTATACTGTATATCACGTAACATGAGACATCCTCTATTTTGAAATTTTAAATACTGGTTCATGTTTTTGGAGAAATTTTTCATTCGACAATGTTCATATAAAAATGAAAAATCAAATTGGTCTCAATACCTGTGAGAGTTTGATTAAATTTTTTTATGGTGGTTAGAAAGAAATGCTTATTCTATGCAGCTGATTTTCATCAACTTCAAACCTGAAACCGGTCGTATAAATAAAATTAACTACTGGTAATTGAACAAAAGTGTTTTTATTCATTTCATTAAAGTGATCATGAATTACCACAAAATAAACAAGTCATCAAATACACATATTAGTAACAGACAACCCAAATATGCCCATCCTCCTTCTACAACGACAGGTTGGCACATACTGCATCTCAAACACGCAACTGTATGTGCGTTGACTTCGAGATATTACCTTCGTACTAATGAGGAGAACAAAATTCGGACTAGTAGGCCGTGGTGAATAAATATTATAGTACTTGTGATGCACTTTTTGGAACCTTTGGTGTAGTAATGAATATTACTGGAGTATTTTCCCAACACCAAATCGTTATCTTAACACCTCGACACGTGGTTCAATTACCACGTGATCATCTTCAAAAGGAAGGTCTTTCTCTTGAAGATCTTCCTCTCCCGAGGTGTTAAAATAATGATTTGGTGTTGGGAAAAAACTCCAGTAATATTCAGACCTTATAGTACCAAACTTTTCGTCTGCTACTGCGGCAGACATCATCAGTGTTATGTATGTCCGTTAAATGAGAGTACGAAGGTTGTATTTTGAAGTCTCATCTTCAAGATATAACCTTCATCCTCGAAGTCAACGCACATACCACTAATGATATATCTCGCATGACAAAGGTAATATCTCGAACACAAAGCACATACCACTGATGATGTCGGATAGAGTATCAGACAAAACTTTTGATACTACAAGTTCCATTCCACCTCGTCCTACCAACCCTTAATTAGTTGTCTTTAATCGTTAATCCGATCATGAGAACCTATGTTCTTACATAGGTACTCTCAATATCTTGCAGTGCAGTTGGATATCACGAAAGAAGTGTTCAAAACATAATCGTCTGGATGTTCAGTGTTTTCTGTTAAAAAATAAAAATCTGTTTCTCCGTTAACCAGCTGTCGCACCCCTACGAACGACAAACCTCAGAAGTTGAAACTTGTGCGAGCTAAGGGCTAACGAGGTCTCACCTTTTGATTCCTAACACATCCTAAAATGGATGATTCAATTGATCGCTATTCTGAAAGTTATATTTGAGTAATTTTTTATTATTTTCAAGAGCAACATTTTTAAAGGTCAGTGGGCACTTACACAAACTTTTCTAGGGGGCTGACTTTACACGACGTATTGTCTGAGCTTGAATTTCTACCAAATGATGCTAAGACGCCCACTACAGTGATTAAAGATTTCAGAATTATGCACCACATTCTGAAAATCACAGTGTTGATGAAGCAATGGTACCTTACTATGAAAAGAGAAATGAAAATTTCTATGTTTTTACCACTTTTATTTGTAACTAACGTTACTGCAGTTTCGTCCTATGTGGACATTTTCAAACTTAAACAATAAACTAAGAATGATTCATTACATTCGCTAATATATTATTGTAGATGTCTTGA